AAATAATAATATAAAAAAATATTATGAAAAATATTATTAAAATTTTTTTTCCTTTTTCTTTTTTCCTTTTTTCTTTCTCCTTTCCCTTTCCCTTTCTCTTTCTCCTCCCCTTTCTCTTCTCTTTCCCCTCGGAACCCAGCAGGCCTGGGTTCCTTCGAACCCACCCAGGCGCTGGGTTCACACCGAACCCAGCATGCCTGGGTTTGGTGGAACCCAGCACACTTGGGTTCGGTTCCTTGCGAACCCAGGTGCCGGGTTTGCAAGGAACCCAAGCGTGCTGGGTTCGCGTCTGGTGTTGGGTTTGCTGGGTTCGCGTTTGGTGTTGGGTTTGCTAGGTTCGTGTCTGGTGCTGGGTTTGCTGGGTTCGTGTTTGGTGCTGGGTTCGCTGGGTTCAGATCTGGTGCTGGGTTCAGATCTGGTGCTCGGTTCGCGTCTGGTGCTGGGCTTGCGTCTGGGTTCGCACCGAACCCAACATGCTTGGGTTTGGTGGAATCCAGCACGCTTGGGTTCGGTTCCTTGCGAACCCAGGCGTGCTGGGTTCGCGTTTGGGTTCCTACAAACCCAGCACGCTTGGGTTCCTTGTGAACCTAGGTGCAAAAAATTAAAAAAAAAAAATTCTATTTTTGTTTTTTTGGATTTTGTTGTTTGATTGTGATGAAAAAATTGATTGATGAAGATGAAGAAGGCATTACTGCAGGTGTTAGGTGTTGGGTTCGATGCTGGGTTCGATTTGTCAATTTTGAATGCTAGGTTTTTGCAGGTGTTGGGTTCGAAATTGAACCCAGCAGGCGTTGGGTTTGAACAGCTGCTGAGTTCCTGTAAGTGAGGCTCTGGGTTTCGTTTCGAACCCAGCAGCCGTTGGGTCAAATATCTATTGAGTTTAATCTGTTGATTTATTGTGTTATCCTTGAATTTAATATTAGGAATTAGGGTTTGCAGAAGGTTAAAGGAAAGGGAGAGGAAGAAGAAAGGGAAAAAGGAAAAACAAACAAAGAAAAAAAAAAAAGAATAAGAAATTTTTTAAGATTTTTTTCTTGCCATCTCATTTTTTTTCACATTGTACATCCTAGGTGTCAAAATGTTTTAACAGGTCATCATTTTCCCCGTCAAGTAACGGGACACGTAGGTTGATATTTGACGGAAGGACCAAATTGGGGTAAAAATGGTAAACAGTAGGGACTAAATCAGGGATTTTTTTAGTTTAGGGATCAAATCGGGGGTCTGTACAATAGTTCAGGGACCAAAAAGGGGTTTTAACCTTTTCATTTTTGTTTCCTCTTTAATCCGGAGACCAGAGTCGAACGAACTGTCATACTCCGGCGACCTTGTTATCTTGTTTCTTCTTGGTTTCGCTTGATATTTTCAGTAAAGCGAAATGTTAGCCAAAGTTCCATCTTTTCCATTTTCATTTCCTTCTCCAACTCCATGGAAGCGGCCCTGTGTCCTTCATTCTCACGGTTGCAATTTGGTGGTGGTCAGGGCTGGTTATACGCGTACGCCCCTGGAAACAGCCGGTGCTTATCAATTGGTTGACGATGAGACTGGAGAAAAGGTAATTGTTTGGGGCGGAGATGACCCCGGCGATGACGTTATCCCTCCCAAGCACCTTCTCCACCCTTCCAATTGGAAACCCACTCGTTCTTCACAGTCACGGTCACAGTCTCCGTCACAGTCTCCAGGTACATCCTTTTCCCTCCTCTCTTACCTCCTCTCTTATTTCGCTTATTTGGGTTCTTTTATTTTTCTGATGTCTCTCTTTTATGTGTTTTGCAATTCCTGGATTGTAGGCACTGGAAAATACTTCCAATTCTTAGCTTTTGCTTTGCTTTCATTGTTCAAATTAATGCTGAGTGATGTTCGATTTCATATTGTATGGCTAAGTTGTCAAATTGCATTTCCTCATATGTTCTCCTCAACCAGGAAGAGCAGCAGCTGTTGGTTTTGAAAGACTTAAGGCAGATAAAGTTAAAGCCCTTGTCAAGAAGTCATCTCGGATGAAGAAAGAAGGCAGTAAACTCACCAACTTCGAGGATGAACAAGTTCCACAGAACCATGCAAGAAGAGTTTCAAGGGCCGCCCCTTCAAATGAATACAGAATTTCTTCCCAAGCAACTAAGACGGAAGACTACATAGAGGAGGACTCTGATTTATCAGTGGAAAGTGGTGTTGAACCTATCTTTGAGCTTCAGATTGCGTCCCATAAAGCTCAAAAGTTGGACTTCAGAAACAGTGAATCAGAGGAACGGGTTTCAAAAGGCTCTGCTGCTCAACTAAGAGGCTGGGGTGTTGGAGAGTCCAGTTATAATCCCAAATCCAATTCAATGGACCTTCTAAAGCAACAGCGTAAAGGGTCTGTTGACAGTGACTTCTTTAGTAGGAAATCCTTTAGAGATTTAGGGTGCTCTGAGTATATGATTGAGTCTTTAAAAGCTCAACAGTTCCTGCGCCCTTCACGTATTCAGGTATAAAAATGCTTTGCTTTGGCAGCTGATTGAAAAAATTTTTAAATAAAATTCCTTCCTATAGTATTTAGTTTATTTGGTCATAGATGATTGGCTATAGGTATTTCTGAACGTATCATATCAGCACAAGTCCATCTATCATTACACCTTACCAAAAAGCTATTTTGTTTTATTTAAAATATATTATAGTGTAGATGATCAAAATCCGGGGTAGTGCAGGCACTAGCTTTTGCACCTGTTAATGAGGGAAAGACTTGTATTATAGCTGATCAAAGTGGCTCTGGGAAGACATTGGCATATCTTATACCTGTGATTCAGCGGCTTAGGGAGGAAGAACTACAAGGGCTTAGCAAGTCATCATCAGGAAGCCCTCGAGTAATAATAATGGTACCAACTGCTGAGCTTGCCTCTCAGGTTAGTTCCTATTGTCCTTGACGGAAGTGAAATCCACTAGCTTTGTTTTTTCATGGTTTTCATGGTATTTTTCTGTAGTCATCTGCTGGTAGATTTATGGTGCAGTCCAAAGTTGTTAAGCCTTATAAAGTTTGCTAAGTGTCATTAAAATTCATAATGCAGTAAGATACATACAACATACATAATTGCAGAATAAACCTTGTTTACTTGTAAGATCAGTTAGTTTGGATGTACGATCTCACTTGTGTCCCTCTAGATGTAGTATATTAGTTTCTTAATGCAGTGAACTTTTGCAGGTCTTAAGTAATTGCCGATCGATGTCAAAGTTAGGGGTTCCATTCCGGTCTATGGTTGTGACAGGTGGTTTTCGACAAAAAACTCAACTGGAAAATCTGGAGCAGGGCATTGATGTTTTAATAGCAACACCAGGTCGTTTTATGTTCCTCATCAAAGAAGGTTTCCTGCAATTGACAAATCTTAGGTGGTAAGTTGATTTCCTTATTGGAATCTCCCTTGTGTCTATACTGTGGCAATTCACACATTCCTTATTAGTTGATCTCGTCCTTTCACTTTTCCTCGGATGATCAAGGAAACCAAGGTTGCAAGCCTGCAACTGTCCTTTTCCTTAAAATGCTGAGGAAGTACTAAGAACTGGTTTACAAATATTGCCTTTTTAAAGTTCAAGAGCTGGTTTTGTCTATGACTATGTTCGCTTGTGAAATATTCACAAGCTCCACACTTGACATGGTTGGAGCTTGTTCTGTGCTAAACAATCTATGAAGTTAATTCTTTGATGTCATTATATTGTCATTCATGTTCATGAAAGATCAAACCACTCTTTATTATTTTCTTAGGGATAGTTGTTTAAATATTAGATGGATGGGTTAAACTTTTTGGTGTAACAATTAATAATATTTATTGATTTGCATATGTAGAATTTATTTTTCTATTGTACAACATGATACATCTGTGAGAGAAAGAAGGGACACCAAGAAATTGAAAAAAGTGTCGCTATATGTTTCTTTGTATCAAAATACATGGTTTACAGAATACCTTTGTTGCAGTGCTGTATTGGATGAAGTGGATATACTCTGTAATGATGAGGATTTTGAAGTAGCATTGAAAAGCTTGATAACTTCTTCACCTGTCACAGCACAATATCTTTTTGTGACTGCAACTTTACCAGTAGACATATACAACAAGCTAGTTGAAGTTTTTCCTGATTGTGAAGTGATCATGGGACCTGGAATGCATCGTACGAGCTCTGGCCTTGAAGAGGTTTGATTCTTTCTCTTTTTCTATTTTTTAATATTAACATGTTTCATGGATGCATAAATCTCATGTAACTAGAACTTCAAGATTTTTAGTCTGTCTTTTTTTTTACTGCAGTAAGGTTCTTTCTGCTTTTCTTTTCACACAATTTTTTTTCCAACAGTTTAAACACCACCCTGTCCCCCTCGCTGATTTTTGTCCCTAAAGTGGACCTCAAGAGCTGTTGCATGATAGAAATGTTACTTCTCCACTAGAATTAGCATTTGTGATGAATGTTTTAATTACAAATTATTTGCATTCTGTTGGTCATTGATCAATATGCAATACTATAGTAATCTGTTACATTGTACATATTATGACAATTATCATGCATTTGTTTCCTACATCTATTATATGTACAAATCATGAAAATTATCATAATCGCCTAACAATCATCAATATTCATAAACTGTTTAATTTATTGTTCATTTTATGGTCACTCTAAATGTTCTTCTAATGAGTTGGCATGTTATGGAGATAGTTCTTTTTGTGATAATTAAGAATCTGGCAATAGATAAAGAGTTGGCAACATTTAAGGATTTTATGTGCTGGGCAACCTCCTAATCCTTGACGTACTGATTAAAACTATGAGTGTTGAAGACCTTTTCTGCTGTCTGAACTCTGAACACGGTTTGTGCCACTGCCACATGAAGTTTGAATATGGTGAATATTAACTGCCTGCATTGTATGTTCAGTTTCTGGTAGATTGCAGTGGAGAAGGGGATGAAAAAACTCCAGACACAGCATTTATGAACAAGAAAAACGCACTTCTTAAGCTGGTAGAAGAGAGCCTGGTTCACAAAACCATTGTTTTCTGTAACAAGGTAGGTTTGAGAGAATAGGTTTGTATTGTTTCCTTGAGAAGTCTTCTTAAAAGGATTTTTACCATTTTTCTTTCTCTATTTGCAGATTGAGACCTGCAGAAAAGTTGAGAATGCATTGAAACGGTTTGATAGAAAAGGAACTCGTGTACGAGTTCTACCATTCCATGCTGCTCTGGAGCAAGAAGTGCGCCTTTCAAATATGAAAGAGTTCACTAATTCTCAGCGTGGAGAGGAATCTCTCTTTCTGGTTTGCACTGATAGGTAGTGATGTCTATGCATTTGTTTCTTCCCCTTCATCATCTGTATTCATATGCGAAACATACTCAGTTTACATTTCCTTGTTAATGAAAATGAGATGACACCATTTGATGCGGTTACTAAAACACTTTTAAAATTTATGGCAGAGCATCTCGGGGAATCGACTTTGTTGGTGTGGGTCATGTTGTTCTCTTTGACTTCCCTCGTGATCCAAGTGAATATGTGCGTAGAGTTGGAAGAACTGCCAGAGGAGCAGGAGGAAAGGGCAAGGCATTTGTATTTGCAGTTGGCAAGCAGGTTTCCCTTGCAAGCAAGATAATGGAAAGAAACCGAAAAGGTCGTCCCTTGCATGATGTGCCATCTGCTTATGAACTGCCGAGCTAAAACCGGGAAAAAGGGCAAGACTTTGCATTCAAGAACTAGTAAAGCAGAAGGCTTATGTTAGAACACAGCCGCAGTATAGCAAGAAAAGTCAGCTTTTAACTTGCTAGAGCTCAACTTTGAGCGAAAATGCAAAGCTAAAAAGCTTCCATGGCAAATCCTACTTGTTGGGGTCCTTTTACGCATGCCACAGTGAAAGGGAGTTGTAAACTAATACCACAGCGGATCCATGATACTCCCGTATCAAAGGAGAAACTAAATAAATTGAAATTTTGAAAGTCCAATTATTTAACTCATTATCTGCTTTCATTAAAAAAAAGACAAAAAACAAAAAAAAGAAGCACCGAAAAAAAAAAAAAAGGTTAGACCCTTATTTTGGTCCCTGAATTATTGTACGGACTTTTGATTCGGTCCCTGAACTAAAGAAATTTTTAATTTGATCTTTAAATTATTGTACGGACCTATTGGTTACTAAACTATTGTATGAACCCCTGAATTGGTGCCTAAACTATTATATGAACCCTCGAGTTAGTCCCTAAACTATTATATAGATCCTTAATTTGGTTCTACTGTTTACCAATTTAACCCCAACTTGATTTTTATGTTAAATAATAGCTCAGGACCAAATTGAAACGAAATTGTAAACAATAAGGACCGAATTGGAGGTCCGTACAATAGTTTAAGGATCAATTTAGGCTAAATTATAAACAATGGGACCAAATTGGGGGTTCCTATAATAGTTTAGGGACCAAATTATGGATTTCTTTAGTTTAAAGACCAAATCGAGAGTCCATACAATAGTTCAAGGATCAAAATGAAAATTTAACCAAAAAAAGAAACAAACAAAACAACTCATTATATATATGTTATATTCCTAATAGAAACATTTTTTTAATATGAATTGTATTTTTTTACGTAGTTTTAGTATTAAAATTATTATAATATTCTTAATAAAATTACATTATATATTTATTTATTTATATTATTTTAATAATTTTAATATTGAAACAGTAAAATTATATATATATATATATAGTTAATACTTAAAACACCTTTTTCAGTTCCCGAATATTGGACACTGTTTGGTTCTTGAGTTAGTTGTGTCGCACCCGAACTATGGAGGGAACAGAAAAAACTGAGGACAGGATAAGATGGATGCCAATTCGCTCCAACCCGGCGTCGGCGTGAGGATAAAGGGGGAGGA